GAGACATCGGATCTAAGATCAAACGATGGGTAGTTCTCTTGATCAAAATTAGATGCCTTGATGGTAGGGGGAGGATAGAACTTCTATGCTGTAGGGGAAATATAGATATCTTGAGACATAAAACTTGTAGATTTTATTTCTTTTAACCTGAGCTAATTTAAATTTATTTTTTAGTCCAAACAAATCTAAAAATACTTGTCTTTTCTAAAAGCCATCGTCCTAAACTTCTAGAAATAGAAAGATTTCATGGAGGTGAAAGGTTGCGAGGAGAGAGGGAGTTGTTTTTTTTAAAAGCCATCTTCCTAAACTTATAGAAAGAGAAGGATTTCATGGAAGTGAACTGTTGCGATGAGAGAGGGAGATGTTTGGATAAACATGGAAGGAGAGAGAGTGAAAAATACAAGAACAGAGAAAAAAATATAAGTTTGAAGTATATACGTAGAGAGAAAAATTATTGAGTTTAAAAATAACATGTATTTTTCGTATTTGTTTAAATTAAAAAATAGGTTTAAAGTCACTACGGTTAGAAAATATCTTTTGAAAACTTAGATAAAAAATAAGAGATATAAAAATATTTCCCTTTTTCCATACTCCAATAACTTCTCTACCATTTCCTTTTAAGTACGCTAAAAAGAACTAATGAAAATAAAATGATAAAAATTCACAAAAAAAAAAAAATTACACAAGAAATCTCGCTTCCATGTCATTGTCTCTCTCACTCCAACGACTGCACGAAGATAAAACCTTCCTTGATATTTCTCATCTTCGTGTTACACGTTTCCAAAACTTAACTCCAAAGTAAAATATATTACATGTTTCCAAAACTTAACTCCAAAGTAAAATATATTCCCATGTACGTTCTTTAATAAAAGATAAGCTTCTAAACCCACATACCCAAGTTAATACAAGATAAGCTTCTAAAAAAGGAACTCATACTAGATAAAAAGATAATTATATATATATATATGCGTTATAGTTTCTGTTATTATGATTCTACCAAATCTATTATTACCATTGTATCCGTTTATCTCATGTCAATACATAAATTTTTAGAAAAAAAAAGAAGACAACTTTACTCTTTTTTAGCCAATTTCGGTTTTTAAATAACGAAAATTTAAAATTTTCAATTCATCAATAACTGAATTTTTTTTTTCTCTCTTGTAGGTTTGCGTATCCTATCTACCTCTCTCTCTACATTACATAGGTAAAAATGATCTTTTTTAAAAAAATCTCTCTCCCCTTCATCGAATGTCTTTTTTTTTTTGGGGTAAGTTCATAATCCCCTATGATTTTATCGGATAACTATGACTTCAGATAGGTAGAGAAAATACGCCATTTTTTGGTTATTGAAGAACCAAAATTTTAAAATTTTCGGTTCTTCAACAACTGAAAATTTTAAATATTCGGTTCTTTAATAACTAAACTTTGTGTATTTTCGGTTGTTAAACAATCGAAAATACCTTGAATTCGGTTGTTCAACAACCGACAAAAAGGTTAAGTCATCTTTTTAAAAGTTTCACATGAAAAAAAAAACATGGTGGTAATAACGAAAACTATTCAGTAGAGCCATAATAACATAAACTATAACGGGTATGTATGTAATTTCTCAAAGATTTACATTTCTTTAAAAAATGCACCTCCCTAAAATCTCTTTAGCACATCCCACAATCCTAAAAACATAAACCATCCAAACAATTTTTTTTTTAATTTGTTTAATTTTACCAGCATCATTCTCTCGGGATAGGGCAAGCACTACTTCAAGCTTGATTCAAAGTGCATCCCCTTCATCACCATGCAAGATTATTTATGGAACTTTATCTTCTTATTGAACGTCATCATCATCTTTAGTTAAATGTACCTCTATCTTCTTTTTTGGGCATTCATATGCACAATGCCCTTTTTTGTTGCACCTATAACACGTAACCTTTACAATATCTTTTTTTTGTCATTAAATTTTGGTTGGTACATAACCTCCTTTTGGGTGAAAATTTGTTTATTGGTGTTCCATTAGTATTTGGTAACTAATTGTAAAGTAATTTAAAAAGCTTCACTTAAGGTCTATGCCAGATGTAGAAAGACTTCGTCTCTCATAGTTGGTCGATCCCATTTACAAATCGAGCAACTTTTGTCCTTCAGTTTTATAGAGGTTGTTTCAAGCTACTAGTCTACAAAATTCCCCACTATAATCATCCACTTCTTCTTTTTTTCATTCAATCAAAGATTTTGGAGCTCTTGAAAAAAAAAATTGCTCATGATCCACATGAAGAAAATTTTCTTTCAATTTCTTTTTTCTTTTGCCAATCAATAATTTTTGCCTTACCACTATGAAATAAGGATTGTTGAAATTGCTCCCACAAGGATGCAGCATACCCACGGAGCTTGATTGCTACAAGTTTAACTTTATGCTCATCTGACAATTCACTCCATTCAAAATAATTTTCAACTATCATTAACCAATCAATAAAAGCCTTTATGTGGAACTTATCATGAAATTTAGGGAGATCGGCTGTAATACCGAAATCCCGTAGATGCTCTATAAGACGTAGATCTTACCTGTGAGTATCCTCGTTACGGTTGGATCGGTACTATGGAATTGTTGGAGGACTATTGGCATAGAATCTATGTGGCTGCGAGCACCTTCTTTGCGATGAATGCAACAGGTGCAACCGTTGATTTATTTTAACTTCAGTTTGAACATCTTCTATGACTTTGGTTATATTTTTTAAAATTTGTCACAGACGATCATCTATAATATGTTTAGCTTTCGATAGCATTGTTATAGTTGAATCTTCTTTGCTCTGATACCAATTGATATAGAAAAATTATTTAAAGATATAGAAAAATTGTTTAGGGGTCAAAACTCTTTTTTTATTCCCCAACAACATCTCTAATAAAAAGGATATCTTCCATTTTAAATATACTAAAACGAACTACTAAAAAAATAGTAAAAAAAACCCACAAAAGAAATCACAAAGGAAATCCCT